CACGACGCTTTTTTCCCTTCTTTTCCCTTCTTTTCCCTTCTTTTCCCTTCTTTTCCATTCGAAACGTTGCTCTCCGACTTCCTCTTCGATCTGTCATCCCGCACGGTCTTCCCTCTATTTTTCAGCAAAGGCAACTTTTCCGGACAATGCTTATGGAGATGGAACAAACGATCGAACGCTTCCGTATTTTCCGACAACTACCCGACTTGCTCCCCCGATCTGACTCACTGTCCCGACAACCAGTGCGACGAAGTCGAACGATTGGATCCTCGCATCTGTCCTCAGGACTGTACCGTCGACGTACACTTTGCCACTTTGAACAAGAACGACCGCGGTATCAAAAGCGGTTTGGGAACTTGCACGTGCAACGATGCGTTGCAATGCACCTGCAACGTGGAACATTTTCGTATCCGCAACGATGATCCCGGGAAAGGCAATAAGGAGGGAAAATACGGTAAAGGAGGGAAGGAGGGTGAGACCGGCAAGTCGAAAGATGGAGAAAACGAGTATTTGATGTCTGGTGCCCGAAAAGGTTCCTCGAGCGTTCTTTAAATCTAGCACTTGCGATTTCGTTACCTAGCCTCTTTTAACTCTTTGTCTTTCTATTTTCCACCCGCAGCGTCTCACGGGCCGTGTGGACCCATCTGTATGATAGGCATAATCGGGGGCAGCTTCTTCGTCTTGATAGTGATCGTTGGTTCCTTCGTCACGTCGAGATACAGGTAAGACGTGGCGCGTAAGCCTGCCCCTCGGCTACGGATCGAACGGATCCGTAGCAGAGCATTCAGAGATTGAAACGTGACCAAAGGCGATGCGTTTGCATTAAAACGATGTTTGCCAGAGCAAAATAGACGCAAATTCCCGCGACAGCTGAAGAATTACAGCTGGTCAAATTCTAGATAACCCTCGAACCAAGTCCTTTGTACTCGACTCAGCTCGATCGTTCGATCGACTACCGCCGAACAAACGGTTCTCGAGATCGGAAAGAGGACTGTCGAGTCTCGGATATTTCGATAACGACGCTCGATCGACCAGCACGTTTATCTAGCTGTTTCGAATAAAACGTTCCTTTTGTCGCGACCATCGGCCTGGCTATGAAATCTCGATCGATGATAGGATAAAGGTATGATATTTCATACAGGATGACTATTTCGACCTCGTGCATTACCACCGCTGTATCGATAAGAAACCGAGCGCGAGCGTTTGCACACGGACGAAACAGCGGACACGAAATTGAAAAAGTTTTCTCCTCGTTTGAACGCGGATGCTTGCACTGGTCTTTCGGGAAAGCCGTCCAACGAATATTCCGCTAGATGAAATAACTCTGCGTCATCGATCGTGCTCGGTAAAGAATATTAACCGATGCGTGAATTTTGCCTTTCAGATTGGCTGCAAAGGAAGCTCGACGAGAGGGGAAACGTCGGGTCGACGGTGACTCGAACGTAGTCGGCATACTATCTTCGGACTACATCGACAGAGGTGACGGTCTACTCATCGGTTTGGACACCTTCACCGCGGCCAATCGACATCTCCTGCTTCCCAAAACCTATCCGGTAAGTTCTTTCAATCTTTTATCTCGTTATCTCGTATCTTGTATCTTGTATCTTGTATCTTGTATCTTGTATCTTGTAATATCTGCAATCGCAAAGGAACAATGGATTAACTTAAGGATTCGTTGAATCTTCGAGTTAAACGTTTTACGACGTCCCTCGGAATCTTGCGAACGTTACTTTTTAAACTCGCTGCTATAACATCGCGTAAATGCGAACGCAAAGGCAAGAACGCTGCAGCAGAAATGAAATTATAATATTGAATTTCTGGGAAACTAAGGTTTTTCAATTGGTAAACCCATTCTGCGAAACGTTCCTATTTCGCGACTTCCTCGAAACACAGTTTTTAACTGAAAATCCGTCCACGTTATTTTTTCTATTTAGAAAATATATATCGAGTCGTTTCGTCGAAATGTTTTACTAGCCGGATCCGAAATGGGAATTTCCACGATCGCGATTGACCATCGAACAAATACTCGGCGAAGGAGAATTCGGTCGCGTGCTGCGTGCCAAAGCCGTCGACATCGGAGGAATCTCGGGGCTTACGACCGTCGCCGTGAAGACTTTGAAAGAAAACGCGTGCGCCTCCGAATTGGCGGACTTGCTGTCGGAGTATCAGCTGCTGAAAGAGGCTCAGCACCCGAACGTGATCAGATTGTTGGGTGCCTGCACCACTCCCGGTGCTCCGGTCTACCTCATCATCGAATTCGCCGAGTTTGGCTCGTTACGGTAAGTACAGGCATAAGTACTTGCCGTATATTCACCGATTATGAAATTCCGTAGGAGAAAATTTGCCCAGCATCCGGACAATAACCGTTCCGCGAGCGAACCACGCGACGCGTTAATTGAATTCTTCTTCCGTCTCGCATTCTCGCGAGATAAGGAGAACAGACGTTGGTGACCAACAGACGACAACAGACGACAACAGGCGACATTCTAGTCGCATCTTCGCGTGTGTCTCGTTTTCCTCCCATTTCTCTCCTTTTCTCCCGTTTTCATTCCAGTTTACCCTTCGATATTACGAATACGGGATGCGGAAATTTCACAGGAATTACTTGAGACGTAGCCGACATTTGGAATCCGAGGCTAGAGCCGGTGGATGTCTATCCTTGTCTAACGTGCTCGTCGGTGAAACGAACGGAACGTCCGTATACACAGTTACGCCGCGTGATATTTTATCCTTCGCATGGCAGATCAGCAAAGGAATGGCCTATCTCGCGGACATTAAGGTAATCCCGTCACGGTAATCGCGTGCTTCATCCTCGAATTCGAGATTAACCTCGCGGTCTCGTTATCCAGTTGGTTCACAGGGATCTCGCTGCCAGGAATGTGCTGCTAGCAGCCGAAAAAGTTTGCAAAATCTCGGATTTTGGACTGACGCGTGACGTCTACGAAGACGACGCGTATTTAAAGCGCAGCAAAGGACGAGGTATGTTTGTCGCGTTATTTCCAAAACGTTCCAATCCATCTCTTCGTCGCGCATTCTTTTTCATTTGTCCAAACTATTGTCTAAGAATTTAGATTAGGCGAGAAGACAGCTTTAACTAGCGACGTCACCGAGATTCACCAAATTTTCGTTTAATCCAATGTACTTTACGTTCTCGCAGTGCCGGTGAAATGGATGGCACCGGAATCCCTCGCGGATCACGTGTATACCAGTAAATCGGACGTCTGGAGTTTCGGTATTCTCCTTTGGGAACTGGTCACTTTAGGCGCTTCACCTTATCCTGGCGTGGACGTGCACAATCTCTACAACCTACTCAAAGCTGGATATCGCATGGAAAGACCAGCCAATTGCTCGCAACAATTGTAAGTAAATCGACATCTCGATTTGCCCATACTCGTAAATATTTCTTTTGCGTAAACGATATCTTTTGCTCATAGATACAAACTAATGATGTCTTGCTGGCACCAAGAACCTACCATGAGGCCGTCCTTTAAAGAACTTACCAATCATTGGGAAAAAATGTTAGAAGACAGCGTGGAATATTTGGATCTAAATCCGAGAACCGTTCATAATCAAGCCTATTTCGCTTCCCTCCATGCCTTGGACAGTCCAAGTAGTGCGTATTTTCTATCTCGTTTTTTCTCTCCTTTCAAGAAACATTGTTTAAAGGGAATTTTAATCTGTGATATCCATTAGGTGAGTCTTGTACAGCTTACTTTTCTCAATACGAATCCGTCATCGAAATTGCTTCATCAGCCTCAGTTTTCGAAAATTCCAAGTTCTTTTCTAAAACGCACGATTTTTCGCTAAAATGAAGTATTACGTAAAAAGTAAGAACGTTAGGAGGCTCATTCTTATCTTGATAGTCAGGTGAAAGTATCGCGAGTTTATTCATATTCATAAATATAATTACTCCTGCTTCTGAATAACTATAATTGGTCATCAAAGTTTAAAAATAAATACTTGTATACTTTAAGCAGTTTGTTATTGACAATTTTAATTTATTATCAATGATACATTTGATAATTTATACATTTTTCGTAAACTACACCTGCATTTGCACTTCCATACGATAAATTTCCTTCATTATATATATATATATATATATATATGTGTGTGTATGATAAAATATTTTTATTTCCTCTGTATTTCTGGTTAAAACAAAGTATTGCACGAAAAGTAAAAACCTTAGAAACGTTTATTTTTTAACAACTTTATATTAAAAAGTCATTCGTCTTTATATATCGAATAACGAAACTGTTTCAAATTACAAGCGATTTAGAGAAATTTCTCTCATAATTTTGCAGTTAGTATAAAGGAATACATGAAAACATATACATATGATATACATAAAAAGATGAAATCCACTGGACGATGATTTTGGTGACAATCACGCGTGACAACGACCCCGTACTAAGCTACACGAACAAACAATGGCTACGTGGCGGGATAATTCTGCTTACCGGTTGCCGATATACGATTTCTTCTTCAAAAAAGCCTGCATAGTCCACTACTGAGTGTCAAATTCCTCTCACATATATGAACTTTTTGTAAAGCTGCAAGAACGTGCGTAGGAAGTAAGCTCAGAGGGTTATTTTTAAACTTCGATGACCAAGTATAGTTATTCAGAGCAGGAATAATTATAATTATGGACATTGATAAACTCGGCTTACTTTCATCTAACTTTTAAGACAAGCATTAATTACAAATTAAAGACAGTTAAAATTTGTTGTACAGTGTAATCGATAATAAGTATCGAATAACTTTGCTGCGACAGGTTCCGGCAACGAAGTGACAGACGATAGCGATACCAGCAATCCTTTGAATACCGACGTTGTAAACTATCTGAAGAAACCGTGTTCCGATACGGTGACCAAGTGCGACAAGATCGACAAGCTTCAAACCCTTTGGCAAGAACCCGTAGAAACGTTCTCCGTAGAATCCGTCAAATTATACGTGAACGATCGGTCACCGAGTTTTCGTGTCAATCATTACGAGAGTCCTATCAAATTCAGAAACGCCAGTGTTACCAGTAATAGCGAGAACGATCTAGTCACGCCAACGAACGAACGTTCGCAATCGTACATCGACATGGAAGGTAAAAAGTCTTTGGAAACGGAAACAGAGACCGAAGCGGAGGCGGAAGAGTTACTCGTGTTTGTCAATGAAAACGACGATACGGATAAAAATCGAAGTAACCGAGTAAACGAGACATGCAAAGATTAGAGAGATCGGAAAGCTAATGGTGATAAAGCTCGAGTCGTTCTTTCATACGGGAAGAACAAGGTTGTCCGGATATGATATGATGCAATATGAAACGATATGAGACCAATATGAGACGAACGAATTAGGAGAAAGGAAACGCGATGCAACTATTTGACAAGCATGAAACATCTTCGACACCGTGCGACACCGATACTTCTTGCGCCTCTTCATTTCTTTACTTTTACCACCAATCACCACAAACATATGTGTCGCACAATACACGAATAGACGAATACGCGAAGCGGTGTAATTTCCAATTCGTTTGCAGTCTAGAGAAAGATGCGCAGTATTGTACGTCCAAATAGATCGATACTTGCAAAGCTAAGAGTTAAACGCGATATCCACGATAGTGTGAAGAATATCAGATCGTTTAATATCGTATTAAGCTAGAAGTCACTAGTAAGTCTCTCGATTCAACACGCTTGTCACTTTTTATACTCTTGAATTTTTATCATTATTATTATTGAATATTAAATTCAACGATATTCGAAGCTATTCAATTTACCGAATCAAACAACAATTTCGAAATTCTCAAACTGTTATTAGAAATCTTTCTACGTTTCCTTATTCGCATCTCGATGAAATTGAATTCAAACCTACGAAACGAATAATAGTAAATGGCTTCCTACCTACGGCACGCGACAAGGTCTCTTGTATTCCACAGAGATTGACCAACTTCCAATTAACTTCGTGAAAGGCTCTTTCATACTACTTTGTAGTTTCTAAATCAATTGCGTAACAAAGAACATTGGAAAAAAGACAAAGTCGCAACGATTGATTATTAACACCAAACGATTAAGCTTCCAGTTCGATGTATCACGGTAACGGCTTCCAGCATTTAACGTATTTTACCGGTAAATATTTCGATATGAAATAGCATACATGAAACGAATATTATATTATCATGTAACAGAACACGCAAAAAGAAAAAGGAATTCAAGCATCCCACTTGTTGATCGATGTAATCGTACTCGAATAAGACTGCTTTCTCATACCTCGATGAATCAGTTCGCTCCTTTTCAGTTTACGTACAAAGCCGAGCATTCCATTTCATTGTATTAATTAGTTGTCACTTGTCGTTTATGACGCAAGCATCCAAGTACAAATTTAGTTATATAGCACTATACGTTTGCTTACTTTCCAACGATCGACTAGCACGAATATAAGCCGCGATGAACGTAACCGTTATGATTGTACCGTCGTTAATATCGTGTTAACCAGTATGCGCGAACGCATACACATAGGCGTAAAAAAATATATAAAACATTTGTACGCCGACAAATTGAAAGTTGTAAAACATGAATTACAATAAATGGAAATGGGGGAGAAGTTATATGGTAACAAAAAGAACTAGCGTTTATTAAATTAAATCCATATATGTATAAAAAAATGTCTTACATCTTAAAAAATTATCTACCTTACGCAAGAGTCAAAATTGTTCATGGTGTTCATGGCATCAAACGGTAATGAAATGAAATCACAAATTCAATTCATCGATACGAAATGCGCAAGTGTCGTTTTTCGAAGATTTACGAGTACGTTCTTCTTCGCACTCTTCGTTTTTTCCATTTTCTCCGTTCTCTTCACTCTCTCCGAGTAAGTTTAATTCATCGATATTCGTTGTGAACGATTGAGAATGGACGGCGTTATCATCCAGTATAGTCGAAGTAAAAGTCTGATTATTTGATATTTCCGAGTTTTCCAAAGGTAAAAGGTTTTCTAAAATACCAGCATATAAACTAGCCACGAGACATTCGTGTTAGATAAACGTTACAAAATTAAGGGCAACTAACCAGTTTCTCGTTCGTCTTTCGCGATATTTGCATCTTCTTCTAATATCTCGAGTTTCGCCAATTTCACGCTGTCCAAAAACTCCCTGTCGGATACCGTAGAAACACATCTTACACGTTCCATTTTATGAATCATTTTTACGAGCTTAGGTAATTCTTTTGGCAAACAAAGTCTCTTCAAATGCCTCGTTTCTTCGGGTATATCGTCCGATTTACAGTACGGTAATTGCACAATATAACAGCGTTTTTCTTTCTGCGTCTGATTCTCTCTAACCAATCGTAAAAGGTAATTACCGGTGTTTCGATATATAGTCGATACCGCAGGCTTCTTAGGCGGCGGAGAAGTTGCAATAAGGACAATGTCAGCGTTTCGGAACGCAGCATCGCACCAACATTCTGGATCCTACGTTACAAGCATAACAAGTCGTAAGATTAACATTTTCGCGGAAAATGTTATTTGGAATAAACGGTGTCACTACTGGCACTAACTTTGCCCGTGGTATCCGTAACGTCGAGCATGTCTATCATGGCATTAATGTCACAAATTCTTAAATATTTTGCTAGCTCGATCATTACGTTGATATGAGACAGTCGTGTCGGTGAGTATACCAACAGACATTTTGGTTTTCCTCTCCTTTTCGATGCTTCTACAAAAATGCACGAAACAAACGCATAAATTTCATTGCTCGAACAATAATGCAGAAAATGCAGAAATAATGTAGGAAAAATTTACAAAAACATTGCAATTTTACCCTTTCTATACAATTTGTAAAGATGATAAAGCACATACAATATCACTGGCGGTATCCATACAGTGCTGATTATCATAATTAAAAGACGGTGAGATGTTTCTTCTGAAAAATACAACCAGATTACCGTAATGCAAAACAGCTTTCATACTTTTAATCGAGAAGATTTTGAGATTATATATCCACGTTTAGTAAATGTTTGTTTGCTTACGTATAATGATGAAGGGCGTCGTACTATTCACGCACCCATAGTCACCACAGTCTGAATGCATAGGAGCAACTTTAAAATAAAACACACCGGTATGCGCGGTAAAGTTGTATCGAATATCTTGTTTACTCGTCATATTGAATGTTTTCACGAAATCCGTATCATTGTTTATTAACCAAATTTTATAACCTGTTACGTTATATACTTCTGGCAGTGGTTGAACGTGTAACGAGAGGAGAGGAGCATAAGATACATCTATGTATACGAATGGTTTGTATTCCTTTATACTTACACCTTCTCCTGAGATAGCGCAGATTTAAGGAAATCAATCAGTACAATGATCATGCAGCTGCTGATTTTCATTCGACAAAAAAAATCTGACATAAAGACTCACCGATAAATTTGTGCACAGGTACATTGAAAACGTATCGCTTGCTATACTTATACTTTTCTCCTGTTACAAGGTAATCTAATCGGTATGGAACAGATTCGTAAGATTCATCAGCAAATGGACAAGACACGTACAGTTCCTTTGGAGTAGGAACAGTTGCGTTTCCATAAAGTTCAATATATCTACAGGCTGCTTCATTTTCATCCAATAAACTTTGATAACGCGTAACCAGACCTATTTAATACAGAAAAATTTCAAGCAACGGAAGAAAATTATTTTACTCTATGAGTCTTACCACGAAAGCTTGCATTGGAAACACTTAAATTAAAGGCTGTCCATTTGTACTCGGATACTTCATACGTGTATGCACGTAAACTAAATTCAGTTGTTTCATCATTAGGTTGATAGCGACTGTAGCCTTCGAACGTGAGTTTAGCGCAATCTACGAAAAAAAGTCAATAATTCGCATATTTCATTTCCATCTTGTACCATTGCAATTATACGCTATCCCACACGAATCATCATCGTACATTTAGCCAATGCTGCCAATGTTCGAATGTGTTTAAGTTACATATACACATATTACACATGTTTATATAAATATATCGTACCTCCATCCCTCTGAACTTTTGTCAATAGACACTGGAAACCAGGTGTAGCAACTAGTTTGGTCTGCAAAAACAAATAGACGATTTAACAAATAATATCGAACAGCAAACATTAATTTTGTCGCTTGAAGAACATTCGAAATAATTATCTAGAAATGCAAAAAATGAATCGTAAACTATTCGGACAAGGACAAAAAATTACCACGTTCTGACAGTAGTCTGGGTAACAATGCAAAGCTACGACGCTTCTACTCAAGTAACAAAGAAGCATCGCAAAGTTGACGAGTCTCCGCATTGTAAGGTTAGAATTAAGAATTAACCACAACTAGTCAACAGTTTCGTCGAAGTCAACATATTTATGTTACACCCAGCATCAACACTTGAACGATCTTTCAGACTTTAGGTGATAGAACATTATGTTTAAACACGACGGTTTATAACTTTCTACGCGAATTTATACAATGCAAACTAGTGGACGCACATCGCTCTGTGTTTATCCTCGAACGCACTCTACCGAGGAAAAATATAAACTCGTATAGTTTCGACGCAGATGATAAACGTCGGATAATCATGATAAACTCGTTATAAGAATCTAATTCGAGATAAAGACAATCGAGAAACAAAGAATGTATATGTGAACGGTTCTATTCGTTTATCGTAAGCGATTATTATCATCCATTGTCTGTCGTACAATTGTGAAAGGAAGAAAAAGAAGGTAAATAAGGTGTAATTGTAAAGGACAAACTGACACCGAATCGAATTCTTTATTGTCTCTTTTATGAAACGTAACGAAAAGAAAGCGTGTAAACGCGAAACAGGAGGGGTGGGGGGAAGAATGTGAAAAATAGGAAAATAAATGTTTTACGAAAGGTTTGCATCTATAACAAAGTGCTTCTTAAGGGATTGCCAACATTTGTAATAATCGCTGTCCAATTTATTCGAAAGGTTCGCAGCCCATTCGGTTATCGTCAAATTATAAGACGTCTCGAACATGAAAGCCTGAGTTCCATCGGCGGTGCGTTCAGGTTTTAGCACGTTGTTTGAAGCAGTTTCGAAACAACGCGCATCCGGTCCATGTGGCGTCATAACAGAATGCAACGACGCTCCGCCTGGTTGGAAGCTTTCCTCTTTAGCTTCATACTGTCCCTTTATCAAACCCATGAATTCGCTCATACAATTTCCTACAGAACAAAATCATAAGATACTCGTAAATCACGTAATATCAATAGTTTTGCCGTGTAATCAAGCTTGGACGAAAAACAGTGTGAGCGAGTGCATTTACGACAGTCAGTGTATATGCGCGCGCGCGCGCGCGCGCGCGTGTGTGTGTGTGTGTGTGTGTGTGTGTGTGTGTGCGCGCGCGCGCGCGCATAGTGTGAGGGGAGGGATAAGTTTGGAGAAGGGAAAAATTGTAGGTTTTACACGAAAAGAAACGCTAGGAACGATAGCCGCGAAAGAAAAAGGAAGTGGATCGATATCGTCGGTGAAAATTCCGAGTTTTCACCGACATCTCGGTTACGCGATTTTTAAAATCGGTCTAGCATAACGAAGTATCGAGCCATGCAATTGGCACCGGATCATCGCAGAAAAGCAAAATGGAAACAACCACGGCAATACGTATCGTTATTTATTTCTTAATCGGAAAGTGAAAAATAGAAAAGAAAGGAAGAGGACGTAGGAAAGATGCGAAAGAAACGACATCGAGTTCCATTCTAGATTGTGACAGCGTCAAACGGGATCGATGCTGCTTCGTAGCACGATCCCAAGTAGCCATGGTCACATCCACGACCACTCTCGAAATTTCTCCATCCCGTTCTACCATCGATCGTGTTTGTTGCTTTTTCACATTCTCTCGACGGATATTCGACTTTCTATATACTTACGATGATAATAAGGAGGCCGAAAAGTGTGCTCCTGCACAGACCAACGAGGTGGAAATATTACAAAATCTGCCGCCGCTGTGCCAATCTTTCCCGAAGGACACGTCAAAACGGTGAAGATCGAGGGGTCCTGTGGAAAAAAACAAACACCATATACGATCGATTCGATTATCGGGAGAGGGTATCGCAGACAACTCTCTCAATAAACTTACGCAGTGATCGAAGGAAACCGTATTAACGACCATAAATTTGTCGAGGTCGTATTTAAACGGAACGTAATTTCCATGCCAAGCAACCACGTCGAACGGACTGTGTTCTTGTTCGGCGACGAACAGCTTACCGTGGTACTTGCACACGATCTCGTAATCGATTTCACGATTCTCGTAACACGCGACCGGTGTTTGAAAATCCCGTGGATTTGCTAGCCCATTCGCTCCTGTTCCGAGATCAAACGTTGTTACCTCGCGATCGTTGGCAAACGAAAAATTCGCAATTTATTCACCGAACGATTCGTTACCTATTGGCCCCAATTCGGGAAGTTGAAAATGGTCGTCGTACACTTCTAGGATATATCCCCGAGACGGGCCAAAAACCGTAACGTTGAATCGCATGCCTTGCTGGATTACGCATATCTCATTCGGTTCGCAACGAATTTGACCAAACTCCGTGGTTATCACCAACGCTCCAAGCTGAGGCACTATAAATAATACGATTTCGTATCGACCAAAACTTGGCACGCGTAATTCGTGCTCGCGATCGAATTCGTACGAACCAATGAGGAAATCTCCATCGGCATTGTAAAAAGCCTTGTTCTTCATGGAGGCATTACAAAGGTACACGTGGATCGCGACACCCTGACGTGCTCGAAAATCACCCGCGCCGCATATCGTGTGCAAACCGTCGACAAAGTCCACCTCCATGGCCTGTCTGGTCGGCACGTCAAACGGTTTCCATCGTAGCTGAAACATGGAACGAACACGTTCGAACACCGCGAAATAGCAGAGACGGTGAGTTAAGTTTGGATTAGATCGATACCTGATTCGGCGTCGGAGCTACGGCATCCCATTTATAGTCGAGACGAGAAACGCGCTTGATCGGTACGAAAGGATTATGGACGACCGACGGTCTGATTCGATATAGCCACGAACGTCTGTTCCGAGAGCGAGGTGCTGCGAAACGGTACGATTGACAACTTCTCCCTTCTATATACACGCGCGCGCGCGCGCGCGCGTGTGTGTGTGTGTGATATGTGACTGAGACACTGTGTGGACTCGACGAGATTACTTACCAGTGAACGACGTACCCGACAGTTGCTCCGCGTACAGACCGTAAGGGCATTTTTGAGGGTTGTTCTGATGGATGGGTAATGCACCGGGACAACGTGCATCCTCGCTGGAAAATTCGTTACCGAATCCGGTCAAATACTGGAAACGAGAGAAATCGGTGAAAAATAATCACGAGATGGAGAGAAACGACGCGGCATTGCGCTACTACCTTGAACTCGTCCTTCATCGCGTGACGTTCCCTGTCCGCTGAATACACCTGTCTTTCCGCTGCTTCACCCTTTTATAAGCAAACGACACCGGCTGTCCTCAACTCATACGTAGTAGCAACAGGATCGTCATTATGCAAAGAACGTGTTTACGTGTTTTGCCATAGTGCCGACCAATGCCGTTTCGCAATATAGGAAGGCGCGACCCATTAATAGAGGCGACACCCGTGTCTCGTTTCCAAAGTCTGGAATTCCACGTGCGCTATGAAAATTAATCGTCGTACCTGGATGTTGAGACGAGCCCCCACGCTCTATTCCCGCTACGCACACGTCATACATACACACGTATACCGGGAACCGTTCTCGCCAATACACCGACAAAGTTGACCAATAAAAGTGGTCTAGTTGGTATTCAGAGGAAGTGGAAAAAGATGAAAAAAGTAAGAAATAAATGGTTACACACGCGCGTGAAATCGATGCAAAAGCAATCCGGTTTACGACTAGGCTAAACGGAAACGTGAAACGATCGATACGCGCTTGTGTTTCTTCGTCGGAACGAGATTGATGGAGCGACGGCAGCAATTTCGGCATGGTTGGCAGGGCAAAAGTAACTCGCGCCTTTCGCTCGAGAAAACTGGTCCTCTTGATCGGAGCTCGACCGCGAAGGTAGGAAATGTCAGCGTTTGTCGGGTAGATTGTCTTGGCGGGCGAATCGGATATCACAGGAAGCGAAAAGGGCCCAATCGGATGGAAGTTAGATCGTGCGTTCTTGCGCCGACGTGTCCCGACGAACGTTTAGAAAGAGGATGAAGAGAAGAAGAACCGAGCGGAGAAGGTTGACGAGCGAAACGAGCTAATTGCGCGTAATTTGCCGCGCGTTAAGAGAGTCGTCCGCGTTTCGATCTAGCCGAGGGAACGAAATTACGGAGAAGTGGGGGCTGTTTACAGTTAAGCGAGAGAGGAAGAAAGAAAGAGGGAGAGAGAAATCTCGCGCGCAAACAGAAGATTCCTTCTCCGGCAACGGGGCAACCTTTCTTCTTCTGCATCCTGCTCGGCCGCCAGGCGAATAACGGCGTACACGGATGCAGGCCGAACGCTCGATTCGAGGCGTCGCGATGTCGTTTCTCGCGGTATGACCGTTTCCTTTCCAGTCGCGAAACGCCTCGCGCGAAACGTCAGTAACTTGCTCGCCCGTCGTACCTGTCCAACGAATAGAAACTTTCGATCCGGTTAGCTCGTTTCCGGTTTAAAGCTCGTCACGAATCCTCGCGAATCGAGTCTATCGTATTCATCGGACCTCGGCGGAACGCGCTATAAACGAGATAGAAAAATTCGTGGGGATGAAGGTGGGTCGAAGGGGTGGGAAAGGAGGTATTAGGGGAAAGGGTGTCAGATAGTGAAGAAGAGGGGGGGGGGGAAGAGGGAGAGGGGGAGGGAGGGGGAGGGGGAGAGG